ACTGTTGGTATGGCTGATGACACAAAATCTGAGGGAGAGCTCTAATATGGCATACTTGGGATTCCAACATGCATATTCCATAAATCTACAGGCCACATGTCTGTTTTAGCTGCATGGGTTCATCTTCCACTGTGTAACTGGAATCACGCCAAGCTATAAAGCTGTGGGTCTTCTAAAACACACCTACTACCTGCAGAACAGTGGGTCAAAGGACTTTGTCTGAGCAGGGGCTACATATGTTATACTCCCATCGCTGAAAAATGCTTTCCAAAGAGGTAAGCTGTCCTCTTACCTCTCTTCAATTAACACATTTTTCTCTCTTGGATACTCTAGCCAGAAAGACAAAATCATGCCCTGATGTAGATGTTTAACTTCCAATATTCTGGTCCTCTGGTCACAAATGACTGTTTGTTCTTCTGTTCTGTTTCCACAGGTATGAGTCTCAACTGTAATCTGCTGGCACCTTTTCTCTGCTCTTCCAGTTTCTCTGGCCCTGTTCCACTGTCTTGAGTCAGGCCCTCGTTTTCTTTTTCCTCCCAATCCTGGGGACCAAACCCATGGCCTTGCACATACCAGGCAAGAGTACTACCACTGAGCCACCTACAGGCTCCCTCACTCTCAGTCACTCCCATATTTTATCACCCCTTGCTTCTGTCACATATGGTCATGTGCGTATCCCAGGGCATCCCAAGCTGTTGGCCAACTCTACACTGACTTAGGCTTCCGTAAACTGCAGACAGTAAGGCTCACATTGGTGCCAAAGGCTGTAGCACAAACTTGTGGCTGATAGGGAGTAAACATCTAGATAATCTTAAGAAAGGGGCCACAGGAGAAGAGAGTTTTCATTGGATTTGGTTTTCTCAGGGACACACAAGGAGGCTGCCTAATAGGGAAGAAGGGTGGGTAGAAAAATTAGGCAATCTACAGAATAACGTTCTACCATTGGACTACTTCACTTTGAAAAACTTAACGGAATTATGCCATAATGAAAATAATCATTTTTGCATCGTACAAATCTGAGTGTTTAATATGTTCTCTGTACTTACTTTTGTGTATTTAAAACTTAGCAATGACAAAAAATTCACAGTTAATTTTGGTGCACACTCTCAGTTAATTACCATTACTCTATGAGTAACCCAACCTTTACTAAACTAAGTTTTAAATGTTGCTATTGAAAACCTTTTCTGGAAAGTTCTGGTATACATTTTGCAGATTTAATAAAGATAGAACTTTTAAACATACTTCATCCTTTAAAGACAGAAAGGAAGAAAGCATACAGAGCAGTCAGAATACAATGGAGGAGAACGCCACCCGAGGGTGACAAGAATGGCTAAGAGCCAAAGAGTGAGGCCCCAGACTTGTCCCTGGTCCACTCTCCTCTTCTCCATACAGGAGAAGTCCCTCTACCTCCAGCCTGGCCTCCTTCTTATTAATCCATTCTCTAAAAACTAGCTGGAGAGATCGTCCCAGAGTGCACGTCTGAACTACCTGAACGAACTCCCCAGCGTCGCAGGTGAGCAGCCCTTGGTGGGGAGAGGCTAGACCTCCCTATTGGTCTCCTCCCATCTCCCACTGCCTGCCCCACAGTCCCCCAAACACCCTCATCTCTGGAAACTCTTAGCCTTCCTCTGCTTGGTTCAGTGACACCTTCTCTGTGAAGTTTTCTTCAATTCCCTCAGCCTCAGAGTTAATCATTCTTTCCTCTGAGTGGCCTTTGTAGGGCCCAGCTTATTTTCTAGAGCAGAGGCCCCAGCTACAGACAACCTACTGGGAAACTTAACAGCAGTTTGGTGATCCCCAAGAACACAGACTCTGCATATTCAGCTCTGTGTGCCCAACCCGGTTCTCAATGAAACATAAGTGGACTGAGTTAAGCAATCTTTCCTGTACTTTAAAGTTCTAATCTATGTGGAAATCTTACACATTTGCTAGAATAACTTTTTGTTTGCTAAAACTAAAATAAAAGTGAAGTCCGCTCACTTTGTGATCTGGGACACCAAGAAGCACTCTTGAGAACCACTGTAGTTGGCAGAAACACAGAGCTGACCTTTGGGACTTACTCTAACAGGTTTTCAACGGAATGGCTCTGCAGCTAGGTGACTCTGACATGAGCATGAGCACTATCTAGTGAGTCTAGTTTCTTCAAAGGAACAGGGCATGCAGGCTACAGAACTGAGAAACATGTGACACATGAGCCATCCTGTAAAGGCAGGGAGGAACAGCATGGGAAGCAGTCATCTTCTTTTCCCCCTGGGTGTTAAGCAGGTATCCTGCTTTGGCTGGCCAGGAAGGTAAAGGACGAGATGTCCACGGGAGGCATAAGGCAGCAGTATCGGCAGCAGGCAGGTGATGGCCAGGCTACTCTCTTGGACTGCTCAGATGCCCTCAGAGTGGGGACCAAGCAGCTCCACAGCTGGGACCACATCGACCCCCAAATTACCAATAGCCAACAGTGCCACTCACATTGAAGCAAATTGAATCACACTGTGACCGGGGAGTCAAGGGTAAAAGGTGGTTGGTTAATGGAAGGCTGGCAGCAAATGCTGCATGGAGTGTGCCAGGTGATAGCTTAGGTACAGGGTCTTGGCATGAAGCCTTCTGCCTGAAAACATTCTCCCATCTCCACTGGATGAAACCCTATCTGAGAGCAGTAGTTCAGGCTTAAGAAACACCCAAGTTCAAATGTTGGCTTTGCCCCTTACTAGGCTTGGCAACTTTTAACAAAGTCAACACAGTCTTTGACCCCCCATTATTTCAATGTTGTTCCTTGAAATCAGAACATGCCCCACTATGTAGTGAGCTTAACTAAGAGGACATGCAAGAGGCTCTGCATTAGAATAAAACTTTCATCTTTCAATTTTCAAACAAGGAACACTGCTCATGAGCTTGTCCCTGGGATTCCCAATGTTTTGCTGTGGCTCTTGCTGCTAACACTTATGCACTAACACCCTGTTTCTCACATTCCCACTTACATGCCCAGCTCTGTGACAGGGACTTGGCTACTAACCGCCCACCCCAATAAATGCTAAGTCCAGGACACTCAGTTGGTATCAGCTGATAGAAAAACAAAGGACCTTTCCAAGAAGGAGTGGTAGAGAGGAAGGAAAGAAATGCCGAGAAAATAAGGTGGGTCTTGGAGCTTAAATGCTGAGCCAGCTGCTACCCAACAGCCTGTTCCCACCTCCTCCTTGTGTATGCTCCAACAAACAGTGGGGCAGGTCTCGAAGTAGGGGGGAAAGAATCTTCTATTTTTTTTTAAAAAGTTTGAACAAACAAATATATAGCCATGCCAGTTTGTATTGTTTCTATGGAAGAAACTTCTTAAAATATCCAAGCAATTTTCCTATATTCCATGGTGGTCCCTCCTGAACAGAAAAGCATTCTTTATCACTTATGTGGCTTTTGATGTAGGGCCACGTGCCCTGCTGAGTTGACAGGAAATATACAAACAGCACAGAAACAGAGCAATTCATATCATAGATGGCAAAAGAAAATTGGTATCTATACACCTCTTGGTACATCATTAATTCATTAGCTCAGAGAAACTAGAAACAGAGTCAGAACTTGAGCAAACACAGGGGGTAGGGGGGTAGCTGCATCCACATAGAAAGTACCGCCCCTCTGGTTAAAAAGCAGGGTCTACGGAGTTAGCGTGGTCTTCCACTGCTCAGCCAGTGCAGCTCCGAGCCAGCCACCATCAGCCACACGTGCGAGCGAGCGAGTCAGCATGCTGCCCACTTCGAGGGCACACCCAATGCTCCTTCCTGCTGCTAGTCCTGTGCCATGGCCAGTTTGTTGGCAGGTAAGAAGTTAAAGGACTCAAGGACAGCCCTAGTGTTCAACACTTGGAGCTAAGAAATAATACTGTTTTTCAATGTGGAACAAAAATACAGGGTTCATTAATACGTTAAGGGAGGGAAATGTGGGAAAGGCTACAATATGGTCTAAAAATTAATTTTTACTCTAAACTAGCCTCCTCCAAACAAATCATAATCATCCCCTTGCATTATTAAAGTAGGGAATTATGGAAAACTAAGCATCAGGCACATTCTACTGCAAATCTTAGAAGTAGTAGGGATAATTTATATTACAAAACTATCAGCCCAAGGCCGTGGCCTACATCTATAATCAATCCCAGATACTCAGGAGGTTGAAGTAGAAAGATTGCAAGTTCAAGGCTAGCCTGGGCCACTTAGTGAGCCCTTGTACCAAAATGTTTTTCAAAAAATTAAAAGGGATGTAGGTTGCAGAAATCATACGTAGCATGCATAAGGTTCAATTCTGGGTTCAATTCCCAGTATCAAACAAAAATAAAGATAATCAAAGCCTTCATTTTTGCTATGAAATGTATTTTAAGAGTCTGGAAAATGAGGCCCATGTTTTTAAAAAATTTAAATAAACTAAGCGCAAAGAGAATGGCCAACATGAGTTGGATCAAGAGCTTTCATGTCTCTAAGATTCGCCTTTTCTCTTACAGTCATACTTCAAATTTTTTAATAAGAGTACCATTTACTTAAACAATATTAAGCAATATGGAAGAAAACAGGCAAAAATATTCTTTGCTGATTTTTAAATAATTTTAAATGACTTTTAAAAAATACTATCTCCATTAACTTTGCATCTCTGGACTGTCCTTTTTAAAAAGAGGAAAAAGCTCTCCTAGCCCAGGACTGCTTGGTGGACCTTTGAAGGCGTTAAAAAAAAAATTATGTTTCTGTGCTGAAAAGTTATCAAGACCAGCTCTCTGCAGCATTTGCATTGTTATTAGGAACACATACACACACACATACACGCACGCACGCGCGCACGCACACACACGCATTGAGTTTAATGTGAGGCTAGTACAGAAACAGAGATTAGACACAAAGAAACGTAAACAGCTCTAACATGCAAGGAAACTAGGTTACGAGAATCCCAGCACCAGGCATTCACCAGTCACCATGGAAAACAGGAAGTGAGATGCATAGCAACCACAAGCCAAAAAGCAGAAAAGCGCATACCTTTAGCTTGGAATGAAAATCACGAGATTTCCTTCTGGCAAGAACCTGAATGTGACTAGACACCTGCAGGGTAGGGGAAGGGAGGAAAACAAAGGAAAAGCCTGTAACCATGGAGATGAAAAGCCCCCTACAACTGGGCAAGCCAGACGTACCTTAATGGCGGCTTGAATTTCTCGAACTTTCTTTCTTGCTAAGACCTGTATATGACTAGACACCTACATTGTTCGGGTTTATGAAGGGAAACAAAACAAAACAAAACAAAACAAAACAAAAAAAGGAAATCAAATATAAAATCGCTACTCCTTGGGAGGGTTGGGGAGGGGAGGTTATTTGCATCTCAACAAAGCTGTGCAGTTAGGAACACACAGTCCCGGCCAGACACCAAGCCCCCAGCTCTGCTCTGAACTTTTTAGACTGGGTCATCACTGCAGTGACTTGATTCAGAATGAAAATTAGGCTCATCTCTACTTTCCCACCTGGGAGAAGTCACAGGCACTGGGAAAAGCTACTTTGGGGAGGGATGAGAGGGGGATAATAGAGCTATTTGCTTAATAATTAAGAAGGTGGGGGTAGAGGTAAATGAAAATATTTATAGCATCTCAGTTTCAGGAGGCAAAATCCCTTTTCCTCAATTTAGAGGAGAATATCCATAAATTAGCACATTGTACAGAATCAAATAGCTGAAGCTGTCAGTTGTATTCCGATCTCATTAAGAGCTCTGGATTCTGTAGCAAATGTTAAAATAATACTGACATGTAAATTAGATCTCAAAGAGAAATGGAAAGACCCAGTTATCAGAGTGGGGTTTTCTTCCCCCCTTATAAATATCTTTAATCCTTCCACTCTTTTGGGTATTGACTGGGTGCCAAATGGATTTGCATATTATTACAAAGCAAAATGTGTGAATACAGCCAGCCAGCCAGCCAGCCAGCCATCCTGTTAAAAATCTGGGTTGAAAACCACATGGATTTGCTCAACAACAAATTCACGCTGGAGAGTTATCACCAACTGCTGCCTTAAAAAAAAAACCCAGGATGCTGGGGTGTGCAAACACAGCCAAGTCCAGCTTCTGAAACACAACAACTTGACCGGGTAAACAAATTTGCATCTCTTTTGGTGAAACTTAGTTAAATTTATAAGACTCCCCCAGTGAGGGGGTCACCGGGCAAGTGCCTCGACCTCAGAGGCCAGCAGACAGCCCAGGTCGGGCACTTGCAATAGGTAGGGCATTAGCTCTGTCTACTTCCAAAATGCAGAACTTCCCATTCACAAGTTAGCAACTCAGACTTTGCAGGGATTCCCTCATTTCAAACTCTCTAGTGACTCTAAAAAGAAGATTTATGAGAATAAAAGAGCTTTTGATCTTTAAATTGGTCTCTGTGTTTCAGTTACTCAATTTTTTCATTTTGCTTTTGTACTTATTTTATAAGTACAGAGAAACAGGGACTCCCCTCATTCTCTTCCCGCCTCCGTCTGGCTCCTGCTGTTACTTATTTTCACCCGAATTTTGTTCATCTGTGATTCTCCAAGTGCATGAGGGCCACTGTTGGGGGACATCCCCTAGCAGACACTGCCCTGCCTCAGTGCTGGCAGGAGGCCACCCCACTCCTGCTGACTCAGCACCAGGTCCCAGGCACAGGCAACATTTCCTGAGGGAAAGTCCCAGCCCCTGATCCACACTCACAGAGACCACTCCTCCAGGGAGGGGAACTCAAGGCTGCCAGTCTTCAAGAGACCACTGGTGAGCTTTTCATTTCATTATAGGGTGGATTTTTTTTGAGACTAAGTTGTCCACGCTGGTCTCAAATGCATGATCCTCCTGCCTCAGCCTCCCAAGTAGCTGGAATTACAGGCATGCGCCACTATGCCTGGCTGATTATAGTTTTTAAGGACCATGCCATATCATTCAGCATAGGTCAACATTAAAAATACTTTTCATCTGTTAACTCACACAGGAGGTGTTTCTTGTTTTCTTTTTCTATTGTCACATTTTCTGTTTTTAAACACTGATTCTTATGGTTTTTGGTTTGTTTTTGTTGTTTTGTTTTTTTGAGACAGGGTCTTGCTTTGTGGTTCAGGCTAGCCTTGAACTCCTAGCGATCCTCCTGCCTCAGTCTCCCAAGTGCTGAAATTATAGATGTGCTCCTCCACTCAGCGTGGTTAAACATTGATTTTTTTTTTAACCCTTCCAGTTCTGGACTGGGTCACCACACATCAGAGTTCAGCTGCCTTATATCTTAAAGATGCAGCACAGGCAGAGCCCTGGAGAAGGGCACTGGAGCATCCTTATCCTTGCCCTGCAAGGTATTGAAGTTGTAACTTCATTCATTCCCAGCAACCAACAAAAAGCCATCTCTTAAGAAACTACAGCATGCTGGACGCATATCATTCAGTTATACTGAATGATATAAATATTCAACACTCAAGGCTTCCAGCATTACTTTTTCATTGAAAGGATGGTTAATATGATTAATGTTCCAGGCTGTTACAAAGCACACATCTCCAAGCCTATCTCCCCAGAAGCTAAGTGGGGAAATGTATTGCCATGATACCATGTGAAATAAATACTTCACAAATGTGTACTCGCTTGCAAGTGTAGTTACACCTTGCAGCTTTTGCAACACTGTCAGATGAATGTTTTGGGAGAAAGAAATGTCAACTTTGAAACAGTGCGCGGACAGTTCGGACACTGTCCTCTGCAGCCAGCCTTTTCCACATCGGATGAAAAGAACTTGGGAGACCACAGACTGCAGGGTCACTGAAATGACAAACAGTGGAAACTGAGCCAACTTGAAACACCTCCAGCGCTGACATCCTTAGAGGGGACTGGAACTGGGGGCTCCTCGGAGCCAAAGCACAGCAGCCAGTGCAGCCAGATGCCTCTGGGGCCATTCGCTGACATGCACACCACCCGGGTGGGCCACTGTACCTGCTTTCTGGTCCTCGTCTTCCCTGTCCTGAGTTTGATGTATCTGGCTATCAATTCATTCCTACCTGAAAGAAAGAAGAATTTACGGTAAGGTGGGTTAAAAATAATTTTTTCTGAACTAAGAGTTTTGTAATTGCAGCTACCCATTTATTCATGAAAATAAAATAAACAGTACAATTCCTTGAAAAACTCCTTGACTTCCTGCCCATCCATTGAAGACAGAAATGTATTTTTTTAAATCTGCCTTTTTGTTTGTTTGCATGCCTATACCTAAAGTTGGATTCATCTAGGAATAAAGAAAACTCAGTTCTGTTTCAGTTTTTAATTTTTCAGTCATTTTCCTCCTCATCCTGACTTAGAATCATAGATAGCTCCATGCAGTCCTCAGAGCCACAAGAGAATGAATGGCAGTGGCCACATGAGGGGCCGGGCTGTGTGAAAGCAGGAACCTCAAAAGGAGCTCTCTGCAGCAGTGCCCGACTATACACATGCAAGACCCCACCAGGGGAAAAGAAAATGCCTGAAAGTAAGACACTTTGGAACATACCAAGAGACTGAGAAGTCTCAAATAGGCAACTTGACTTTGAAGAACTATGATACAATAAGAAGACATATCCCCAGAAGCTATGTGGGAAATGTACTGTTACAATATCACACAAAATAAATACAAACTTTACAAGCCTTGGGTCCTTGTGAGGTGGTCAGATTCATGACTTTATCTTCCTTTTCGACATACTCTACAGTAAATGGATACCTCCATTTCATACTCCTTACAGCTGATGGAAACCAGCTCCATCCTAACAGGAGCCTCTTGGTCAAGAACAAGTTTCAGGTCTACTGCAGTCACATTCCCTGCCTGGAAACCCTAACAGTGCAGCCAGGTCTCACTTCTCCTTCAAGGCCACTGCAAGGTCACTTTCTGGGGAAGTCTCCTGGAACCACCCACCGGGTTTGGCCTCCTTGCTCTGTAACATAGAGCCCTACTGCAGCAGCACCACCCCCACCCCCACCCCACCCCTGCCTTTTCCACCTCTGAATTTCTAAGTCCTCCGTAAGCCTAAACCAGCCCTTTGAGAACTGAAGAAGCAGCCCACTGCGTACTGAAATATACTCAATAATAAAAAGATTCTACTTATATGGGGCTTCCTGTAACTCTCATTCTCAGACCCTACTTGCTCCCTTAACTAGAACAAGGCTCATCTCGCCCCTTATGCACACAGCTGGCTGCATTTCAGAGACTAGCAACAGCTTTCAGGTCCTGGAGGCACACACACAAGCTCAAGCTCCTCTGTTCTTTTGTTATCTGTGTGACAGGCTTTGGAACATTCCCAGACACCATCCTGTGACCATCCTTTGTTTTTCTTTCAGAGCTTGGAATCCAGAATGGTAGGAATAATCCTGCCACAGCAGCAGAGTATGTTTATCACCTCCTCATCCTAAACACTCTACTTCTACTAATACAGCCTAACACTGCATTAGGTTTTTAAGGACCTCAATGAACTGCCATCTTACACCAACTTGAATTCCTAGGTCTTATTCGCGTGGGCATTTCCTCCGACACAGCTCTAGAGCTTTATCTCAGTAACACCAACCACCCCTACTGTAACTGAGAGCGAGTGGGTCTGCAGTCCACACAACAACATGTTTGCATCCATAATCAGAATGCTGGATATTAGAAATGTGAACCTCTGAGCCTCTAACCCCCCACACCTAACTTTTACTATATGCTGAACATACTTTATCTGAAATGTGTGGAACTAGATATAGCTTTTTTTTCTTAATTTTGGAAGGGAATAGATCCATCTAGCCTTGTTTCCAGTCGTTCCATGCATAACTGGGATTTTCAGGCCCAAATACAGAACCTGACATTTATTTCCAGGGCATTTCATCCTGTTAAATTTGGACTAACATTCCAGTTTCTCAAAAACCTCAGATCCTGGCTAACTGAATGTACCTGTTAAGGGTACAGAAAAGGACCTTTAAATTCAGTTTTGAGGATTGCTTCTCTAAGCATTCTCTTTCAAACTTCTGAGAACTACCAATATCCCCTGTAGTGTCATCTGGTCTACTTGTCCATCTCTCAGATGGCTGTACAGATTTTGCAATTTGTCTCAAAGGCTGGCTGACAGCAGAGCCCAGCTATGAGTGCCTAATTACCAGAAGCCAGACCTGAAAGACAATGTCTGTGGCTGAGCCAAGTATCCTCCAGCTCAGGGCTGCACTGTGCACCCTGTGCAGGGCTGTCTGAGTGGCCACGGCATTATAAATCCAGGGCTCTATGTGACATGCAATTTCATTGAACCTTGTCTAGCCAGTGAAAGGAAAGTCTCCTGCCCCAAACTTGTTTTCTGCAAATGCAGATAGAATGACTTGATAGGTGCGACATAGAACCTATAGCATTACTTTAAATTTCTGCCAGCACAGGTGAATGAATGAGACCAATGTCCAGGATAGACACTGGGCAACGGTCCCTACAGTCTAAGCAAATGTGGGCTGCTGGAGTTAAACACTGTCATAATTTTAATCATACTTCTAAAACTCACTACTTCTACCATAGGCTCTTCCTGAGGTCACCTGCTATGTACTGCGTCATTGTAATGAAAGCTTAACTCTCACATTCCTGTTCTTTGGAAAGCAAGTATTCTCCCTTTTGTACCATTTTCAAGCTATGAATATTAATTATTTAATTATTTTAAATGTTGGAATTGTCTGCTTTATCTTAAACAACTCGCAGGAACCTAATAAATTCTCTTAAATGTTCTAATATTGCTCACAAACCTAGCATGATTTCAACCCCCAATCTAAATCAATTACTTCATTGCATATTTTAATTTAAAAACACAGGCTAACCTGTTGCCTACACCAAATCATTTAAGATAATTATCTGAAATACCAAATATACACAAATCTTTAAATCAAAAATATCAATGATATGGCTTTGGTTTATGAAAATGTTCTACATTCAATTTTAATTTTCCTAGAATTAAAATGTACTTACCCATTAAGCCAACAAGTACACCAGTCCAAACAATTTTGGAATATCTTTTTGACTTCTAGGGGATGTGTATATTGAGGATATCAACTAGGCTCTGCATGGAGTCTTGTCTGCAGCCTGAACCAGATGTATATTTTACAGCCCTATTCTCCAAATGAGGTGGGTCCAGGTTTCCACAGCCCCCAGGTTTTGAATTATGTTACTAAAGTGCAGAATTCCCTAACCAAAGAGCTCAATAACACTAACCACCGTTGATGGAACTTAGCTAACAGGCCATGGTGGTTCAAGAAATCTAGAAAGGCTTCCCCAAAGTACTGGAACATAAGCCAGACCCTTAGCAATAGACATTTCCTCCAACATTTTATTATGAAACGTTTTATTATTTCATTTATTATGAAACATTTTAGACATCTCGAAGTTTCTTACAGAAAAGTTTTATGGTGACTACTATATCCCTATCTAAATGCTACTACAGGTTGAATATCCTTATCCAAAATGTGTGAAACTAGACATATTTTGCTTTTATTGGATTCTAAGAAATTTGCATACATATAAAGAGTATCCTGAGGACAGAATCTAAATCTAAACACGAAATTCATGTATGTCTCACACCTTTTACACAGAGCCTGAAAGTAATCATATACACTATTTTTAGTGTGCCTGTATTTGACCTGTGACTTATCACATGGGCCAGGCATGGAGTTTTCCACTGTGGTGTCTCTCAGCACTCAAAATATTTTGGATTTTGGAGCATTTCAGATTTTTAGATTAGGGGTGCTCAGCCTGTAAGCACTTTTGCTATTCTTTATTAGTTTTCATTCCATCCCACCACTTCTCTATCCATCCACCAAGACATCTTAGTAGTTACTGCTGCATTTCAAAGTAAGTTGCTGGCATGGTTAACACTTTTCCCAAATACTTCAGTGTGCATGTCATAACTAGCACCTAAGACTGATCTGACAGGAAGAATGGAGTAGGGTAGGTTGAAGACCAGAGAACTCTGTCTGCTAACCCACAAACTCCCTAGGCCATTCCACGGGGTTTCCTTCTCAACCCAGGAGTCTCTGGGTCACACTCGTGGCATCTACAGCATTACTAGCTCCTTCTCTGAAAACAGCTGAACAGCTTCTAGAGCTAAGTGGCCATGTCATACTTCACCATGTAGCGTCACCACACTACAGCTTCTCTGGAGTACAAAAACCCCTGCAGAAATGCACAGAACATTCCTCCTCCGAGGCTGAGTGACCCTACCAAACCTGCCCTGGCTTCTTCCACAGCCAGCTGCAAAGATCAACACTGCCTGAGCCACCACTTTGATGTGCCATCCTTACCAGGCACTGTGGTCTCAATTGACTGGATTTGTCCTTTCTCTTAAACTGCATGACACAGCTGCAAGGGAGCCCATCACTGGCTTACCCTGCATCCTGGGCTTCCATGACATTTTCTGATAAAGAGGCAATACAGAGAGAGAGACTGCAGCAAAAGGACATGCAGTATGCGCTGGGCTGGCCTCACCCAGACAGAAGACTGGTTAACGTTATTGTGGGCTGTGTGTGTAATGGGATGTGGCCTCAGGGTCATGTTTGAGGCACAGCAAATGCAGGGTCTGTGGCTAGAAATTGCAGCCCAGAGACACTCAACTTTAACAGTGTAAGAGGTACTTTGTAATTGAATGGAGTCTGGGAGCCACAAAGAAAGAAGTGACAAATGGAATATTCCCCTTCCCTGGCTGCAGCCAGTCCTAAGGCAAATCCACAGCAGGCCAGGGATGACCTCCTTGGGTCTAGGGAAGGCGCTGTAGCTTCCTCAGTCTGAGACACCTCTGCTTCCCACACAGGGAGGGATGATGCATGGGTGAGGAGTTCCCAACCTTCTATGTTAAAAGAATGAGAATCAAAGAACAAATGAAGCTTCTTCATGCTGCTAAAAGGAGAATGTTATCAAATAGGCTGCAGCTGTAGGGTCTCTCGACTCCTCCCTCAAATCCTGACACAGCCCAAAAGTCTCTCGGATTATTAGAATGTTCTCTTTGAACACCCTCAGCATTCTGAACTCTGCACGTATGTGAAC